AATTCTTTTTCCTTTTTTTCTCAATTTTCTTTTACTTTTTATTTAATTTATGTCCAACCAAAAATTTTAAGTAAATAAGTATAGCTGCTACTCAGCTATATTTAGTATATATAATATTGTTTTAAAATTTTTTTTAATTTTTTTTTCAATATTAGCTAAGTATAAATGTATAGGTAAGCTAGTATTTAACTTGTTATATTTTCATACACAAGAGATGTTATTTCTTTCACATATACAGTATATATAATTTAAGTATAATATCAATAAATAAAGAAATAATGTTTACCTATTGAAAAAAAATTTTATTATTATTATTATTATTATTATTTTTTTTTTTTTAAAGTTAAACGACATTAGATGCAAATTCTTTATTGATAACAATGTATTTATTACATCACGCATCCTTTGTAATACATGACTACAATTAAACGCTAGCCTATCAACTTTATTCATCTGATACCTGGAAGCCTGTCACTTGATGACCTTTCCTTGTGATATTAGGGGGCTATAGGGGACTTGATAACCTTTTCTTGTGATACCAGGGGGCTATAGGAAATAGAAATCCTACCACTAGTTTTAAACTACCTAACCTATAGGGCTTATATGCTTATGAGGGGCTTATACTGTTAATTATCTTATATAGATTATCTTTCATATCACACTTATCTCAATCCATCACATGAGCAGAGGGGAACCTTCGACACAAGCATATACTCCCTAGTAAATGCTCCGGTTTTGACTGCTAGTTGGACACTACCAAATCTAGGGGCCATTTTGGCCAAGTGGGATGTGACTCCTTAAGGATCTATGTAAATGTGGGTTTATAAGACACCACTTACAGATCGATTCTTAAACTCCTAGTAGACATTCCAGATTTGGACCAGTTAACATAAGCTATCAAATCTAGGGGTCATTTTGACCAAGCAGGGCACAACTCCTATGTACTCTGTCTCGCCGCATGGCTAGCCGTATCATTCCATGATGGCACTGGATTGGTGCTCTCTTCAAGGCTTTCTACTTTCGGTAATTAACAGTGGGAAATGCTTAACTGGGTTGATTGAGATGGAGTACAGCCTAGTCTATACTTTCAAATGTGTGGTTGGTTCTTGGCACCTTATCTGATGATCATCATATCACTTCCGGATGATCATCGTGCCACACACTTTTCTTGAAAATCACAATCCTATCATTCTACTGGATCAGCGTGCGAATGACTTCTTATAGGAAACAAGGCTCTTATAGGTTATGGCCCCAGATACCATTTTTAATATGGTTCAACCGCCTTCACCTAGGGTTGAATTGATATCTTGTGATCTGACCTGTAGAGTGTTAACCACTACACTATAGACCCACAGGTCTAAAAAAAATTTATTATTAATTTATATTTTAAATTATTATTTTAATATAATTTTAGAATTTTAAAAAATAAAAATTCTTTTATATTCATCTTTAATTTAATTATTTATAATTAAAAAATCTATTTAATTTTTATTATTTTGTTATTAATTATCTTATTATTATTATTTTTTCTCTCAATTAGGTTAGTATCATTTATTTATTAAATCAAGATAAACCATTACAAATAGAAGTTATAATGTATAAATTTTCTTAACCCAGCTTACCTGTTTGTGACATAAAGTTTTTAGATATGATTTATAAAAATAATATATTGCTTATTCATTAATTAGAATTAAGATTCTATTTGTTTAATGGAGTTAACACCTGCAGATCATCTCTATAGAATTAATTATTTTTTTAATAAAATAAATATATATTTCAATATTTTATATTTTTAATAATATTGTTATTGAATTTATTATTATACAAAATACAAAATAAAAAATTATATGGTTTATTTATATACTGTATTTTATTATGTATTATATAATTAATTCAAAATTTTAATTAATTATTATTTAAAAAACTTAATATAATAAATAAATTAATATAAAAAATTTTATTAAAAAAGTTAAAAAATTTTATATATTAAAAAATTTTAAAAAATCAAATAATTATTAATAAAGTATTTTTCTTTGGATTTTATAAATAATTTTTTTTATATTTATTTATAAAAATATAAAAAATATATTAAGTTTTTTTTTTTTTTAATTACGTAATTAAAAGTATTAGATATGAGATTTTTATTAATAACTATTATTACTTTTATTATATTAAATATTTTTACAAAGTAAATTATTGTTATTTTAAATATAAATTAATACTATTTAGTAAATATTATTTTTAATATTATTGATTTCTTTTGAGTCAATTTGATTACTATAGTTAATTAACTTATATTATAAAGATAAATATATATTTAAATAAGACTTACATAAGAAAAAAAAATCTTATTACTAGTTTAAACCTACTTTTCTATTAATTTAATTATATTTTTCAGTTGCCTACTAGAGAAAGATCATATGGAATATTATTATAGAGATTAAATTCAATTATATTAATTATTTATTATTACTAATTTTTAAGATATACTACTAGCTATAATATAGCACTACTGTTTTTACCATTTGTAAAACTAGTATTCTTGTTTGAATTTCAATTTAATTTTATATAATCCTCATTAAATATACTTGATTTAGTAATTTTTACTTAAATTTTTATTATTTGTAACTAATATCTTACTTTTTGATTATATAATTAAGTTTTATAGAATATTATATTAGGATAAATTAATTTAGGATTAATATTTTAAATTGTATAATAAAGTTTATTATCATTAGTTTTAGATTAGAATTTTTGTAAACTATTATTAAAGCTAGATCAAAAGTCTTTTTTTATATAATCTTCTATACTTCAATCTGTTTTCAGCTTATGATTGTTCAAAGATCAGTGATTTTATTTTTATATAACCTAACTAAATTTAAAAATAATTAAATATTATTAAATATAATATATATAAATATCCAATAAATTTGCATATAAAAATTTTAAGATAATTGAATACAATATATATAAAATAATTTATTTAAACTTACATATAAAAATAAATGTATATCCGTTTTCTATAAATATTGAACTAAGAATATATGTTTAAAGATCTATAAGTATTATCTACTGTGCTATTGATTTACAGGTAAAGGTATTAAAGTTTTAAATAATAATATTGTTAAAAATATATATAGTATATATATTTTATTATAAAAAAATATTTTATTATTTAAAATAATAGTTTTTAAAAAAATCAAAAAATTATATATGATTTTTTATTATTTTAATAGTAATATAATTAAATTAATCTGATATTAATAAAATTAAATTTTAATTTACCTTGTAAAGATTGTTAATATAATGACAGTAAATTTATATTTAAATAAGGTTTCACATTTAATGCCCTTTCACAATAAAAAAAAAAAAATTAATTTAATTTTTATTAAAAAACATTCAAAATATAAAATAAACCTATAATTTTAAATTTGAATCTAAATTTATAAAAAATCACAAAAACAATAACTACTTACAGTATATAATATTTTGATATAAACTGGTTTTAATAATTTATAACTTTATTATATAAAATATTTTAACCAAAAAAATTAAAAAATTATAATTTATTCTTTTATTTGTCTAATTAGATTCTCATATTACTTAATTAGATTCACATATTACTTTAATTGTCTAATTAGATTCTCTTATATGTTTATACTGTATAATGTACGGTATATTTGTAATTTCACATGATTATGCCTGTTTTTTTTTTTAATTTTCAAAGTTATTAGTGTTAAATTTTTAGATTGAAATAATTTTAAAATTTTACACATGTTTGACTAAATCACCACATTATTCCACGTGTTATCACCTCATGGTGTAAAAAAGATAGTCTTGCGCGTCATTCACCTAAGGCCACCTGCAAGATAACTACGTCACGCCACAGCGTTTCCTGCTGAACTTGACACATGTGCCTCGGTGGGTCTCGACTCCATGTACAGTATATATAATTTGACATCTCTTTCCTTGTTTTTTAGCTTATATACAGTAAGCAATTAAGTAATATGGAACTTTAAATTTTTTATTGTATATTAGATAATCTCGTGACACCGTCTGTTACCAAAATATTTGTTATTGAAAAAAACGCTTACCGAATCATTCTTTATTTTTCATTCCCAAAAATAACGGCGATTACCTTTAAAGTTAAATTAGCATAATCAAAACAATTAATTTTACGTCCAACATTGTAAACAAAAACATCAGATATGGTTCGCAGAAAAAAAGAAAAAAAAAATCGCGATTCTTAATGTACGGTAACCCGTCGATACTTCGATGCACATTTACAGTATTTATTTATATGGATAAATAAGTGAACAAAAAAAAAATCTTTTTCTATGAACGAACGCATAAAAAGATCATTGCTAAACGATGCAAGGGCGTTTAGTACAAATTCGTGTGGAAACAAGTTTTGAGAACAATAATACAACCGCCGTAAATACCATAAAAAAAAGTGGGCGAACGTCTGAGCGAGCATTTCGACCTACTACCTGCATAAGTACGCATGTCCGCAATTACCAAAAAAAAAAAAAATTTTTTTTTTTTTCAGGGCATCCTAAAATGATGGAAGATCATACAATTCGTGCATAAACATGAATCCTAATAAATCTTAATCAATCAAAAAGATAATGAATTTTCGTTCTTTGTGCGTGCAACTCGATGAATCACTTGAAACTCATGAATATTACATTTGGTACGTAATGAACATTCCTTTATTCAGAAAGTGTTACCTCCGTGATTACGTGAATCTCAAATCCCAAAATTTTCATATGTAAAGACGATCGTTTTGCCTGAAATGTCCACACACACACAAAGCCTTAATAAGATCACACATTATTACTCTTCGGAATACTACTAATTTATTATCTATCAAAACTTTGATCCAGGAATGAATGCTTTCATATTATGTACACCAAATGAATACAAGAAGGATTTTTTTTTTAATAAAGAGTTGATTGATTAATTGTCGAAATGAGGGAAAGAAATAATTAAGTTAATTTTTATAATAGCCATTGTGCGTTCGATGTAAGGTTGTGCGATGTCTCCGGGACCACACATTCCTTAATCCTCGAAAATTGAACAGCAATAGCACAAGAGAGAAGCAACGGCGCTATGAAGCAGATAGAAATATAAAAGAAAGATTAACGTCAGATGTCAGTCAACCAAACGTTTCCAAATTTCATCCCACCAGAGATCCGTTCAAACACATGGACGCAAAACTGATTACTGCAAAAATCAAGATGATAGAAATAAATTTTTCATACAATCCAGTTAAGCAGCTAGACGAATTGTCTTCTTCTTCCACAGATCGATACATCACATGCTGATGTGGAACTTGTGTGTGATAAAACGGATGAGATTGCGTCGACGGATAATAACCTTAGAGAGAAGATGAATAGAAGATGAATTAAATGGGAATTTAATGCACCTTCCGAGATTTGTGACATGTAATTATCGTTAATACTTAGCAACCTTGGTTCAAACTTCCATAGTAAGTATTGTTTCCACCTGTGCAACTCCCACCACCGCCGTTTGCATAAGGTGCTGATTGGGTGTACGGTAACGGCGGTTGGTTTGGTGAGGCGTAAACTACCGATTGATGGTGGTGACAGTGACTTAAATTATTCTGATATGATGGGTAATGATTATATTGAAGATTTTCGGGTATTGGGGGTAAAGGCGGTGCGCTTGGGTTACAAAAACCGACAGACGATTCGCCCGCACGATGATGAGTGGAATCCTGAGGCTGATTGTTTTCTATCCATTGAACATATTCTTCGTCTTGAAGTTTTTGTGCTAGACGAAAGTCCACTTCAGGGGGAATGACGGTAGCTGGGTAAGGATTCTGAGAATGGTATTGTTGTTGCGGGATCTTGAGAGGCATGATTTGGTTCCGATATATTTAAGTTGGTCAGTTAAGTAAAAGATAAAAACGCGCGTTTTCTAAGCCACCGCGCACTTTTAAACCTTACCTGGTGATTATTATTGTTATTATTATTACCAGTAAGATGGTCAACTAGTGTGTAAGGTGGTGGTGGTGTGTGTCCAGAACGTTCTTCAGATTCGTGAACCCGCTGCATTTTTGTATCTTCCCTTTTGAAAAAAGATAAATTTTGAGGTCGAACTTGTGGAAGTAAATCTTTCCTTAAAATTTTGGCGACTACGCAATTCAGCCAAGGAGACACATGTGAACGCAGAATCTATCACCAGATCACATCGATTACGTAGATATAAAAATCTCCTACAATCATGCTTATTACCATTTGAGGAGGTCAGCGGACATTTCCTTAATGTGAAGGGGACTAATATGTCATACAAGATCCAAATTTCTTGTTGTGGTTAGACAGTTATAACACGGTCAGCCAGTAATATCAAACCCAATATCAGAGGTTAATTCATAGGTGGTAAGGTGGTAAGGTGGTAAAGTTAGGGTGGTCCATTTTTTTTTTTTATATATCTTTTTATTTATTTATTTATTTATTTATACACAATGGCACGCCGTAGAAAGTTAAGGGTGAACACAAGAAGAGAGGAAACAGAGAAGTACACCAAATATAACACCAATAATGGATTAATAGTACACCACATCTTTTTTAAGATTACAGTATATTATTATTGTTTACATTTATGTTTACGATGCCGTAGAGTGCAGATTTTCGCTAACGGATTTTTCATGATAAAGAAAACGCGTATATATGATATGATACGATATATGATATCTGGGATATAACAATATATGATTATATGACCATAATGGTGCGTACATTCTCAGTAAGTGAAAGGGGAGGTGATGGATGCGGGGCAATGTTAATCAACGAAACCCAAAGTGTTCGTTCAACTTATAAATATGTATGTACATAATAATGGGAGGCTGGTGGCTTCATACAAGATTGGATGTTGAAGTACGGTGCATATTTTCGTGCTGCAGAGTAATACCACTTTAGGTCAAAATTTCATGTGACCCATTTCGGAAACTTAAAACAAAGAAGAGTTTTTAGCAACACCAAGTAGGGGAACCTCTCCTTGTGCAGCGCACTTAAAATATAATAAAAGGCTCGCACGTAACGAACGTCCGCGTCGTAGACCTTCGCGGAAAATTCACCAGATACTAAAGTAAATTTACTGTAAATACTTTTTTATACCTTATATATAAACTTATTTTAATATATATAAAGTATATTAACTGTTTCGAAAGAAGAAAAAATGGTTCATAATACGCTCGCCGTCAACTGCGCTCCGACCGAAGAGAAAGAACTAAAAAGGATATCTTCCTTGGAGCAACGTGTCGCTGAGTTAGAAAATACCTTGCTACGGACGGCAGCAGCCGCCCTGGAGAAACGTGTGGCAGAGCTAGAGGCTTCTTTAAGGGAGTCGAATGAAGAATGTGATAAGTTACGAAAGACGATAGTGGATATGGAAAGTGCCTGTAAAAAGGTTATTCCTAGGACAAAAGAAGAAGACACTTTTGAAGTAAATGACTTCACCTCAGAAGGTGATGAGAAGGATAGTGAAAAGGACAGTGAAAAGGATATATTTGAAAGTTCCGAGGAACAAGATAACAATAGTCCAGAGATTTCTGATGCACCATCTGTATCATTCGATGATAAGGAAGCCGAAGTGATATACGGACGAGTATTAAAATTAATTGAAAATATGAAATCCGATTGCACAAAGGCTATCCATCTTAAAATTCATACTTCGTCGCAATTACCAAAACTCCCAATGCGACAAAATTCCAAACCAATCACCGCCACTCCCAACATACCCACGCCCACATCCACACCCACACCCACACCCGCATCACCACCCTCACCCTCACCATCAAGGATGCTTGGCCGTTCAAGGGCACCCAGTGTATCAGGCATATTCACCCCTTCTCGTCCTGCTACCCCTTCTAGTGGCCATCAGGTATCCTCGAACATCTCCAATAGTCCCACAAGGATTCCACCATCAAGGATATCCAGTTTACCATCACCGAACGGCTCGCATGTCTCTTCTCGACCTGGCACTCCTTCCGGTGTACACTCAATCAGCACCCTCAACTCAACCGGTTCATCATCCAGCAGTACTGTGATATCCCACAATCTAAGAAGAAAATCATCATCAATATCAAGGCCAAGAACACCAAACTGGTTGCCAAACTGCAGTACTCCTTCAGGCGCTCAATCTCCACCATCATGCAACGGAATAGGTATCCAGTCGAATCTTCACTCGAGTATCATACCTTCTGGTATTCCATCGAATCTTCCCTCAAAATCCACAAATATTCCAATGCACATCCCATCAATGCGTCATTTTAGTAAGTCTCATGATTCATGGACTGCTATTCTCGATTCATTACCACTGAACGTCAACTAATGATTGCATTCTATTCATAATCGATCACAGGCATGACTTTGTAATATAAAGCATATATGTAAATTCACCAAACAAATGTGTCTTTGAACTTTCTTTCCCGCTGAGTGCTTTACGCTGGCGTGTTCCTTTACTCAGCTATCTTCCTAACTGGTTCTCAGTTTAATAAACTACGAAGATTTGAAATTCTTAAATCAAGCACAAATGTCACGTGTCTTTTGATGACTGGGAAAATATGAAGACGCTTTGTTTTTTTACGTATTTATAACTAATTAATATTTCAATGATACGATTCCCTCTTATTTGTACCATCAAAAAATTAAGCTTACAGTATGAACCTCCGTCTGTCTATAGTGTGATTGTAATAAAGATCGACTTTGTGACAGATTCCTATAAGTGTATTTATGTTTTTTTTCATTTTACCTTACTGTACTGTACAAACTTTTTTTTTCATTTCACCTTACTGTACTGTACAAACGTATTTTTATGCTTGATTTCTGATAAATCCATGTATTATCTATATTATTGTATATTTGTTATTTTACGTACTATACGTAGTTTAATTGTACAGTTTTTAACTTTATTTGTAAAGATAAATAAAATGTCTTGAATTTTCAAGTGATTCATCAAGTTTTTTTAAACGAAATATTTGTTACCAAAAATATTTTCAATCCATTTTGTTAGTTCTAACAAAAAGTTATAATTTACAATTAAAATTATTGGTTATTTTAAATTTTCCATAATTTCAAATTCAATTTTATCTTAAGTTAATTATGTTAAGTATTGTATTTTGTTTATTAAAGTTAAATAATATACAGTGTATTACAAAAGTCTTTGGACTAATATTTTTTAATATACAGTCTGGGACAAAAAAAATCACCTTTAATATTTTTATTATAACTTTATAAAAAATTATTTAAATAATATAAAAATTTTAATATACTGTATATTCTTTAAAACTTAAAGATTAGGTTATTTAAAGATTTTTTATAAAATATATTATTAGATTTTTTTTAAATTTAAATTTATTATCTAAAAAAAATAATTAATTAAATCTTTAATTATTTTTTAATATAAATTTAATATAAATGAAAATTGTAATTTTTAGATAAAAAAAAATAATTTAAATATTGTTTTTATTTGTTACATAATGAAAATTTATTTATTTTATATAAAAATTTATAAATATATTTTTTAAATTTTTTACTTAAGCACTTTTTATAAAATAACTTATTAAAATTTTTTATAATAATTTTTAACTTACAAATAAATTTTATTTTCTTTAAATTTAAAATAAAATAAAAATTAAATGAATACATATTTTTCAATAAAATTTATATCTTTTTTTTCTTACATTCTAAAGAATATTTTTTAAAAATTTCATAAAATTTAAATAATTATTTATTGAATTATAATTAAAAATATTAATTAAAAAAAAAGATGGTTTTTTTGTTCCAGACTATAATTTAATAAATAATTATTTAATTAATATAAAACTTTAAATATATATTTTTTATAATGTAATAATAAAAATATT